CCAGGAGATTTGCTTCAATGCACTCATCATTCAGTGAATACTTACTAGTCATTCATTAAGCAAGTGTTTTGAGCATTTACAGTGTGCCAGGTCTATGTGAGGTTCTGGAGGTACAACTACAAATAACACAGACATAGGTCTGCTTCTTAAACAGCTTACATTGAGTGGGTCACGTAAGTCAGCAAACGGGGAACTAGAGAGCACTGGTGCTACATGAGTCCACAGGAGGAGACACCAAATCTGGGAGAGAAGTCAAGAAAGGCTCTGTAAAACTGCAATCGTCAAGGAGAAACCCACAGGGTAAATGCAGGTCAGCCGAAGGAAAATAGGCATTCCAGACAGACAGGAGCGTGTATGAAGATCCTGAGCTAAGACAAGGCTGCAAAGCCAGGAAATAACAAGTCGTTTAGTCTCACTGGAACTTCAGGAACAACCTCGATGAGAAAGTGTGAAGGCAGATGGTGGAGGTAAAAATATGGCTGGGGAGAGAAGCAGGACCCAGACCATGAGCAGGAGCCTCTCAAGAACTTGGACTTAATTCTGGAAACAAAGGGAGCCTGCGGAGGTTAGGAATGACATAGTTAGATTTGTCTTTAGAAGGATATACACTATGGTTGCAGTGTGTCAAAAGAACTGAAAAGCAATCTTTAAAATCATACAAAGAAACTCTGTCTTGGAATACAAACCCCTAAAACAAAAAGTCCAAAGGCCCTGCTTTAAAAAAACAAAAGACAACAACAAAAACTCTTCTGTTTAAAAATAAAACATTTACTTGCAATTTGAGGAAAACTTCTTAAGAGTACATGGTTACAGTGATCTGCAAATGTAGCATAATAAAAATTCACCTATGTACTGTTAGGTGCCTTGTTTTCTAGAAACAAAAGGTCCCAACTTATCTTACCACCCCCATCCCCTCACCCCCAACTCCCAGGAAGCTTATTTCAACTTGGTCTTTGTTGCTCATTTGGAGACCAAATTTGTACAACAAAATAAGACTCTGCCATCAGCCAAGGGAAATTCCTAGAACTCAGCCTGATAACTACAAAGCTAAATGCTAACAGATCAGAACCAGCTCTGATCCCAAGGTCAAGATACATTAATCTTAGATATTTTGCCAATAAATAACGAGAGTGTTTGCAGGTAGTTTCTAAATTAGAAATTCTGAGCCCCAATAGCAGCAGGGTGTAAACATGAGTATCAGGACCCACTCATTAGAATTAAATGGCTCTCAGGATTTGCCTTTTAAAAATTAATTATGCCATTAAGAACTAAATGCAAGGATTAAAATTTCACAAATTTCTAGTTAAATCAAAATGTGGTGAGAACTACTGGCATTTGACCAAATACTAAAAGAATTTCAGCTGTTGTAGAAATAAAACATTTGCTTCCTACTTAAAGCAAAACTTATTACAGTATCTGCAAATACAGCCTAAGAAAAACTGGTAGTAGAGGCTTTTATGAGATAAGTAAAATGCTAAAAATCAATCGTTAAAAATCAAGATTTTGGAGGAATGCTTGGCTATAACTCAAAAAAACTTAAGACAAAGTAAATGACAATTCATTTCTAAAAATTAAAACATACACATTTCCAAAAGTATTTTAGGTACACAGATCTCTACCATCACTAGAAGAAAATCTCAGAAAATAATATCACAATTATTTAGCAGGACATAGTCTAGAGAACCTTCTCTGATGAAGATGAATGCACTATATTCTTTTTCTCCTTACAGCTTTCCATATTTTCAAGAATAATTAAATTAACATAATCTTTGAAAACACACTTTGGGTATTTGCATTTCACCAACTTGCTTACTTATTTCGAAAAGCACCATTTTAAAATTCCTGTATTTTTATTACAGTCATTATTGATTTATCAGGCTATGTAAAAGACTAACAGTAAAACACAAAGCAGCAGGGCCGGGGATATAGCTCGGTGGCACAAGCGCCTGCCTGGCAAGCACAATGTCCTGAGTGTGATTCACAACACCAAAAAAAACAAACAAACAAACAAAAAAAAAAAAGAAAAACAAAACACACAATGCAGCAGAAAATATACCATATTAGAAATCAAGATATTCACCCATCTCTTTTGCATGTGTGGTACCATACTAAGGATTGAACACTGAGTCTTCATACTGATCTGCATCCCTAAGGCTTTTCTTCTTTTTTTTTTTGGTACCAGGAATCGAATCAGGACCGTGTGCTTGCCAGGCAGGCCCTGTGCCACTGAGCTATATCCCCGGCCCGGGCTCTTCCTTTTGAGACAGGGTCTCACTATGTCACTAAGTTGCCCAGGCTGGGCTGGAACTCAGGATCCTCCAGCCACAGCCTCCCAGCATGCTGGGATTATAGGCATGTGTCACCACGTCTGGGTTCATTCCTTCATTGAACATCTGAGTATTACTTTAGTGCCAGAAAATAGACACTAAAAAAAATTTTTTTTTCTTTAATCCCCAAAGAAACACAGTATTACCCTTCATCAAATTTAAGATGTTATCAATTTTAAGACAAACAATTAATAAGGAAAAAAATGCTTTTAATTCTGACCTAAGGCTCTAAATGAACCACACCAGCCACTCACTGTTTTAATTTTTCTCCAGTCTATTCAGGGAAATTTGGCAATTCTTCCTGTCTTCAATATACTGCTTGACACTGTACATGGCAACTTCTTTTACAAATATCGGTACAAAAGCAAACTTCATCCACTTTAGGGTATCTTCTCTCTTAGCTCCTACAAAGCACTTTGTGGTCATTTTCAAAGAAAAGTTAATGTCTGATTAACAGCAAATGTTATATCACTAATACCCAATTTGTATTTCTCTACTTCAGTTGTATGCTTTCCTCTGTGTTCAGTAGTTTTCTACTTCTACCCCAAATAATACTGAAATCTTTTTGAAAATATTTTACAGGGTAATTCAAGATGATCTACGTAGTGCTGACACCATGTCCATAACTCAGTTGAAATGACACTGAATGCAGCTGTAACTAAGTCTGCATATGCGCAGGCACTGATGCCTGATGAGAGGGCCGCCCGCCTGACAGCAACTGGAAGATACTTCGATGGTCACATTCCAATCTCAAAGATATAAAAATATGAAAAATGCACATCTTAGAATCACAATAATACCAGCAAACATTTAGAGAGCACTATGAGCACCATGCCACATACTTAACAGCTCACGAAAACCTAGAAAGGAGGTAGATTACTGCTGCTACATGAAGAAACTGAGGCAAGGTGGATACAGTAACTCGTACATCACGAAGCTGGCATGTGGCCAGGCTTGCACCTGAACCCAGCAGGGTAAGCCCAGAAGCTATGTTTCTAACCATCAGGCCATACAGCCTTTCAACTAAAGAATCAGTAGCTAGCTTTGTGATCTGAAGCAAATCTTAAGAAAAGGGACTCTACTCCTTATTTTGAAAAGGAGGCAGTAGGGGAGGGAGGGGAGAAGAAGGGGCAGTAAAAAGAACTAAGATGTGTTATGCACACATAGTAACTCCTTACAATGACTGTAATCATTAAGTACTACAAACATATACCAGAAAATATGTTTTTAAAAGGAGGTGGCGCCTGGTCAGAGGAGGTGGGTCACTGCCGCATGACCTGGAAGGGTGTAGCTCCCTTCCTGGCTCCGCCCTTCCCTCTCTGCTTCCTGACCACCTTGACATGAGCAGTTTTCCTCCGGCATGCCATTTCTGCTTTGAAGCCAGCCAACCAGGGCCTGTAAACATAAGCCCCTCCCCAAAAAAACTCTCCCCTTGCCAAAAAAGGGAGGGAATCCTCCCCCAGGATCAGAATAATTATATAATCTTCTACTGCTGGATATTTAGTTTTATGCTAATTTCTCCTTTGGCCAATACATTTCAAAGATCTTCACTGCTATTAACTTATTAATGAAAAAAATGTAACTTTCACTATTAGTCTAAAATAGTACATAAGCTGGACCTGGTGGTGCATGCCTGCAATTCCAGCACTCTGGAGGCCGAGGCGGGCCAATCACCATGAGTTGCAGGTCAGCTTGGGCAACACAGTGAGACCTTGTCTCAAAAAATTAGAATAGAATATTAGAATAGAATAGAATAGAATAGAAAAGAAAAGAAAAATAAAATAGATGTAAGTAGGCAGGAAAGTATTTAAGGAAATACCTACTTGAACCACTACTTCTTGTCTTTAGGGTGATGGTAAAAGCTGATCATAGACATACATGATCTAATTTGTGGGTTTTACTCTGCTATGTACTTAAGTCATATAAAAGTTTAGTCCAAACAACACAATTTCACTGCACTGTTTTTATGGCTACTCACAATGCAAAGCCCCATTTTTACAATTCTGTTCATGTATGAAGGGAAATCATAATAGGTTAATAAAAGATGAAAATACTGCAATACTCTCCCCCTTGACCCAATTTAAATGTGGAATTAAATGAGCGTCACACACTTGGTAACTCTTCTGCCCCAAGGGAACTCCACCCTTTGCATTTTCTACAGGCTGAGCCAGCTGTTCTCCTTAACTTCCCTTAAGAACACAGCCTCTGAACATCAGACAATCCGGTGATAATTAAAATGATTCCTGTTCGCTTTGAACCTGCACTCCAGGAGAAGAGTGAATAAGAGAAAGGGACTAAAATGCACAGTGTCTTCAAGGTTTTCATTTTTCTTATTTAACTGTCAAATACCACATCAATTTCAGTCTGACTTGAAATAATCTGTCCCAGTACAAACCAGAGAAACAGGGGCCTGGGGATTTAGCTCAGCAGCAAAAAGCGCCTGCCTGGCAAGCGCAAGGTCGTGAGTTCGGTTCCCGGTACCGGAGAAAAACCAAAAAAAAAAAAAAAGAAACCAGAGAAACACTAAAAAGTTTTCTAGGAACAAAGCAAGGCAAGGAATACATGTGAAAACCGGCAAAAGAAAAACCAAATAAGGGCAGATATTCAAAGCAAGCCAGCTCTCACCAGTCTCCGCCAGCTCTCACCAGTCTCCGCGATTTTCCTATTACTTACCTTCCCGTGCTGCCCAGCCCTTTCGTAACAAATGACCACATCTTCCCACATTTCCAGCTTCTCAAATATTTGAAGAGCTGAACTGGTACATCCCAACTCAAACAGCAAACCTGCAAGCTGGCGCTAAAAAACCCAAATTAGAATAATTAATACTTCATGATGTAAAGAGAGATTTGCTTTACTTGCAAATATACTCAGTCAGTTTTGTTTTGATTTGGTTTTTTTTGAGGCATAGTATTGCTATGTAGACCAGGCTGGCCTTGAGATCACACGCCTCGAATTCCAGGCATGTGCTGCCACATCCAGTCCAATCTTTTTAAGGGCTGCATATGTAATAAATGTATGATTTCTGTAATTCAACCTTTACTAATTAGGAATCTGTAATGATCAAATATTTGTATTTACTTCAACAAGCCTCTTTACAGGAGATGAAAACTTAAAAAACCATTCAGAAACTTCTATGTACAGCTCTGTGACCAAAACTGGAAAGTTAACCGTACTAGGCCTCAATTTTCTTCCTAGGAAATTACAAAACTAGACCAGGTATGTAAGTCATCTTCAGGGCTAAAATGCTACAAAATAGTAGAACCACATCTATTCTACAGGAGGACATGGGGACAGGACAGTCAACATGGGGCTTTAAGAGTTACACTAGGATTTCTCAGGCCCTCAGAAAGAATGGTTAGAAATATCTCACATCATAAAGCATCAAATAAATGCTTTCTTGCAATTTTTGAAAACAACTTAGTTAAAAGGTTTGTTCTTTGGCAGAAAGACTTGGAAAATGAAAGCATTTATGATTTGCCTATGACTTAATTCTAGGATTCTACCTAATACTGTATAGTTCTAAATCTTTTTAAAAATATTTTAAAATTCTAACATCACTTTAATCAAAATAGTAATTTAAAGTAATTAGCAATCTGCAGTTAGACACTTTTACTATTTCTACAGACATATTTGAAATTTCAAACATAAGTTGAAATTAGTCTTTTCCAATACATTAACCTTTCTACTGCAAATCACAGTATTTTCCACACCCAAGGACAAACACAGGTACCTGGATGGCCCAGTGAGGCGGTACTTGACAGCAATAGAAAACCTTCAGTCGTTCCAATACAGATGTAGTTTTATCTTCAAACTGATCTGCAAGGGCCTGAGGAACACATACAATAATCAGAATCCATGGGTGAAATAACATTTTAATATGAACAAAATTCCCATTGCAAAAGTTATACAAAGGCATACATAAACAACAAAGAACGCATCACTTTGACAGGTTGATGAGGTGTGAATTTTTTCTTGAGTTTCTTTAAATGTTTAAAAAACTTTAATCAATATTTATATAAAAATAAAAAAGGGCAGGCAACGTAGTTTAGGACAAAAAGCCCTGACTTCAATCCCCATACTAGAAAAAATAAGTAAATAAAGAAGAAAAGAAAAAAGAAACAAATTTTGCTGGGCGTGATGCAGTGAAGGCACAGCTAGCAGGAGTGCGTTCAATCTAGGGAGTTTAAGGAGATCTTGCCTCAAAATAAAAAATTTTAAAAGGTCTGGGGGATGTAGCTCAGTGTAAAGGGGCTGGATTCAGGTGAGGCGAGGTGGCACATGCCTGTAATCCCAGTACTCAGGAGGCTGAGACAGGAGGATCGTTGTGAGTTTCAGACTAGCCTGGGCTACATAGCAAGCTCAAGGCCAGCCTGAAGTGCATAGTGAGACCCTGGCTCAAAAAAAAACAAAACAAAAAAAACCAATGATTCAATCCCCAGAACCACAAAATAATATTAATAAATAGTAACAATAATAATAAAAACTGGTGGGCATGATGGCATACGTCTGTGATCCCAGCATTCAGGAGGCTGAAGCAGGAGGATCACAAGTTTGAGGCCAGCCTGGGCTACATAGTGAGTTCAAGACCACCGTGAACTGCAGTGAGCAGTGAGACCCTGTCTTAAATAAATAAATGAATAAACAAACAAATAGATAATTAACTAAAAACTGAAAACTAAAAGCTAAAAATTAAACACATAAAAACTAAGATTTCCCTAAATAATCCTTTTGGTGAACTAGCCTTATTAGGTAAGGCTTTTTACTATTTTTTCCCTGGTAGTACTCAGGATTTAACCATGGGCACATCATCTCTGAGCTACATCCCCAGGAGCCCTTTTGATTTTTTATTTTAAGACAGAGGCTCATTAAACTGCTCAGGTATAAGTCAAATTTGTGACCCGCCTGTCACAGCCTTCCTCAATGCTGAGATTACAGATATAGCACCACTTCGTCTGGCTATTTTTACTTTCTAAAGAAAAATTCCTCCTTAGCATATTTTACAACATAACACCACTCTGACAAAAGCATATTCTAATACAAAAACAGAATTATCTGAAGAACTTTATTTTTGAGGACTAACTAAAGCGAAGGAAGAAAACTAAATCCTTTTGATCACAAAAAGCAAGTTTTCTCACTCCTCAGCAACAAAGCTTCAAGGCTGAATATTTATTTGTGTGAGATCATCTGTATGGTGCGGTGGACAGCTGCATGCTGTGTGCAATGAAGAATCCCTCTGATGTACCGAGCCACTAAGTAACTAAATTCTTGCAGGCCGCCACTACAACACCAAGAAGACCAAAATGGCTGGCTCTGAGGAAAGGAACCAGGGACAAAGGCAAAGTCAAAAGCTGGCACTATTTAGTGGTCAAGTGACTCAAGCCATCAAAAGAGCTCACACACACGCTCTGGAATTCCTAGGCAAACATGGACAGCAGCCTCACTCCAAGATCATCTTCCCTGGCCCCGCCCCACCCCACCCCTTCATTTGTCATTCACTTAATACTGTGTATGTATCTTTTTTTCTGATACTACACTTAGTCCTCTCAACTGTGAATTATCATGACCTCTATTCCATAATGCAGTGCTCAAGTTATCTTTTGTAGTGAGTTCACAGACTTGTCCTGAGTAACACATTAGCAGTAAAACATTAATTTTCCTGTTTTAATGCACATATCAGGTTATATAGGAGAATGTCCATGTACACGAGAATGATAACGCACTGTTGTGATTTAGATAAAAAAATATCCCCAGAAAGCCTCTTGTGTCTGGAGGGCGACTGGCTCGTCCACGCACTACACTCACCAGTGAGTCGGCCCACTGGTGAGCTCAGCAGCTGAATGTGCTGTGGGGTCTGGCTGGAGGTAGGTCACTGGGGGTCACTGGGGACACAGTCTGGAAGAGCGTATTCTGCCCACCTCCTCCCTTTTCTCTCTACCTCCTGGCTGCTGTACGATAAGCAGCTGTCCTCTGCCCAGCCTCCTTCACCATCCCTTTGCTGCTTGGGACCTTTTCTGCTTTGAAGCCAGCTGACCAGAGAAAGAAAACGTGAGCCGAAAGAAACTTCTCTTCAAGTTGTAGGTATCGAATATCTTGTCCCAGCAATGAGAAAGCGACTAAAACAGATTTTGCTACTAGAGAAGCAGGATCACTGCCGTGACTCTACCTGACCATGGGGTTTAGAAGCCCTCAGAACTTGTTTGTGGGAGACTGGAAAGTTTGAAGATGCCAGCTAGAGTAGTGCTAGAACACTGTAAGCAGAGCTTGATAGGCAATACACTTAGAGCTCAGAAAGCCAAACTGCTGATATCACTACTGGCTCCAGCTGCTGGACATGGAACTACAGGGTTTAATGTTTGCCCTGCTGGGTTTCAGCCTTACTTTGAGCCCATTCCTTTAGTTCCCTCTACTTCTCCCTTTTGGAATGGGAATAGTACCTCGTGCTATTATAGTTTAGAAGTATTTTTCTTTCTTTTTTGGTTTTTACAGGTCCTCATAGCTAAGGGTTTGCCTTGAGTTAGGAGGTAACTTTGGACTTGTACTTTTCACCATTACTAAAACCATTAAGACTTCGGTGACTCTTAAAGATGGACCAAACGCATTTTGCATGAGGTGAACATGAGCCCTTTGGGGACAAGAGGAGGGATGTTATGGTTTAGATAAAAAATGTTGGGCCAGGTGTGGTGGCATGTGCTTGAAATCCTAGCCCTCGGAAGGCTGAGGCAGGAAAATCATTGTGAGTTCAAGGCTAGCCTGGGCTACAAAGTGAGTTCGAGACCAGTCTGAATGGCATAGCAAGACCCTGTCTCAAAAAAGGAAGTTCCCCCAAAACCTCATGTGTGTGGAGGGTGACTGGATCATGAGGCATGACACTCATCTGTGGATTCACCCATTAGTGAAATCAGTAGCTGAATGTGCTGTTAGGACGTGGGCCCAGTGGGAGGTATGTCATTGGAACTATGACCTGGAAGCACGTTATTCTTTTCCCCAGCTCCTCACTCCCCCTCACATCCTGGCTGCCACAGAATGAGCAGCTGTCCTGCACCCAGTCCACTCTACCACGTCCCTTCTGCCTTGGAGCCAACCAGCTACGGACTGAACCCTCTAACGCCATGAGTCAAAATAAACCTCACCTTTACATTGTGGGTGCAGGGTATTTTACCCCACCAACAGGAAAGTGACTTACATAGACACCATGTAGCAACTTACTCCACAATATTTTAGAATACAAAAGACAGGTATATTACATTTGTACCTTCTCTGAAATTATTTCAAATTTTTGTAAAATTAGTTTTAAGTTTTAAGTTGCAAAAACATTAAAAGATGTAGTAAATACAGACTTCCTCAAAAGAAAGTAAAGGAGGGGCTGGGGACTTAGCTCAGCGGCAAAAGCACCTGCCTGGCAAGTGCAAGGTCGTGAGTTCGGTTCCCGGTACCGGAGAAAAACCAAAGAAAACAAAACAAAAAAAAAAAAAAAGAAAGTAAAGGAGTTTAATACATTCTGGTAAAAGCCAAAGAGACTAGTTTCTAAGCAATGAAATAGCTCCTAAACTGGAAGTTCTCTACATTATGCTAGATGAAAGATGAATGTTAGTCCAAGAATATCCTGAAGAATGAACTCAAGAGTAAGAAAATGCTCATTATACATTATTTCTTTGACAACCCAAGATCCTATTAAGTCAAGTCAATCAGAACAAACTGAGACATAACCAGACTTCTGGTTTCACCTTGGGACCCAAATTTTCTGGCTACTTCACAGAAACTTAGCAGCAAAAAAGCTGTATGCTTCTTACCAGGGCTGTTTAGTTTCTAGAGGGAGAACAGAAAAGAATAACCTCTAGTTGAATACATATGGTTAAAATATATAAAAACATCATGGAATTACTTCATGGGAAAGGGGGCAAAGTTAATATTTTAATTTCCATGCGTTTATAAAGTCTTTATGGTCTGATAACACGCACAGGATAATTTAAATTCCTTTGCATTTACTTAAGCATGTTCCATGAGCTAGTATGTGATCTCTTTTGAAGAATATCCTGTGTGCAGCTGAGGAGAATGTGTATTCTGATCTTGTTGGGTGGAATAGTGTGTAGACATCTACTAAGTTCATTCACTTCTAGTATTTACTGTTGATTTTTTGTCTAACTGATCTATTTGTGACAGTGGGGTATTGAGATCCCCCAAGACAATTGTATTAGTGCTCATTTGATTTTTCACGTCTGTTAATATTTGTTTTATATAGTTGGGTGCATTGGTATTTGTTGTATATATATTTATGATTGATATCTCTTCTTAGAGTCTTCCCTTTACAAGGATGTAGTGACCTTCTTTGTCTCTCTTCATCAGTTTTGGCTTGAAATTCACTTTGTCTGCAAATGTAATAGTTACTCCTGACTTTTTCTGGGTTCCTGTTGCATGATGTATTGTTTTCCATCCTTTAAATATTAGTCTATGTATTTCTTTTTGAATTAAATGTGTTTCTTATATGCAGAATATTATTGGATTGTGCTTCCTGATCCATTCTGCTAGTCTGTTTCTTTTGATTGGTGAATTGAGACCATTAACATTGACGTTTATAAATGATATGTACTGACTTATCAGTTATGGATGGATGTTATTTTCCTGTTGTTGGCTCCTTTTTTTTCCCTCTCTCTCTCCCTCTGTTTAATTATTTGCGTTGCATGGTGGATTCCTTCTGTTGGGGTTCAGGGAATTGAAGTCTTTATTATCTTTTTCTATAATGTCCTTCAGAATATTTTTGAGAGCTGGTTTAGTGTTCATGAATTTCCTCAGGTGTTCTTTTTAATAGAAGTATCTTATTTCTCCATC